CTGGTTTCCAGATGTCTGGTAGGTGGGAGGTACCTCCCACCTACCAGACATCTGGAAACCAGCCCTAGTCAACACACACACACACACACACACACACACACACACACACATATATATATATTCATAGATTTTCACAGGTGTAGGTATGCTGGTCTTTCCAGACATTTGGAAACCAGCCCTAGCCAACAAACGAGCCCCACCCACCACCCAGGCCGTTACAACATGAAACAACAGACACACAGCCAGCACCAATCAGCACCAATCTACCAATCATGATACAACCACACAACCAATCATTCCACTTACTGAAACAAAGCTAGCACTCCACCCCCACCCCCACCAAGATTTATAGAAAGACGGCAGCTCCGATCACACTTTAAGCCCAAAACCCAGCCTGAAGATGGCGAGTGAGACCTCGCTGAATATATATCCTACTATTTTACTTTTTTTATTTTTTTGTTTTTTTTTTTTTTTTTTTTCTTTTCTTTTCATGATGACAGTGGTGAGGCCCTGCCTCCCCTGACTACATGTAACTGTTGCAGTGTACTCTGTAATGTTAACTTCAAACTTTCTATTACTTCACTTCTTCAACACAGTACAAATTATTTAACTTTAGATTGAATTCTTGCCCCTAAAATATTTCCAAATATGGATGTTCCTAGTTCACTGGTATATGTATTATGTGTAAAAAAAAGCCTTCCTTATTACTAGGCAGTTTAAAGTAAACTGGCAATGAAATTAGCATCCTGAGACACTTTGGTAACCTGGAATTTACCTATTTTTTTAAAAATAAAATATGTTCTACAAGCCGGATAACAAAACCAAAACTGTATTAGGCCATCTGCAAAATAAATATTTCACCTTCTTGATTCATCAGACAAGACCACCTCTTCCCAAGAGAGAAGATATCAAGCTGCATATACACACACACACAAATGTGTGTCATATAATTGCATAAACTAGCTGAACATGTTTCACTACTGTCTTATCACCCTTTTAGACAGATTCTAAAAGAAAATTAGAAAACAAATATAATAAAAACTATTTCTGTGACTAAATTATTAAATTGTAAACCCATAATCAACCTTCGATAGAGTAGCTATGGAAAGCTAACAGTTTTGTTTTGCTTAGACTGGAAAATTTTGTAAAACTTTATTTTTTAGCAATCATAGAGTAAAACATGAATTGTATTTGTACAAATTAGTCAAATGAACATACCCTGAATATACAAGGAACATCTTTACGGGTTGCATGTATAACATCCGATGCTAGGACAGAACTCACACAAAACTCTTCATCTCTGGAAAAAAAATAACAGTAAATGTTATTAGATTTAAACTACATATTTAAAATCCTTGCTAAAACAAAGTAATTAACAAATTAATTGGTAAAATTTGAATCACTAAGTTAAAGAGATTCTGAGTAGAAGTTTAAGGTTTTATTTTCTACCAAAAAAAATCAAGAGCATGTGAGAACATAAATCTATTCTCTCATACCTTATACAAATGTGGCCTATACTTTTGTCAAAAAGCACACAATGTATCAAAGCCTGCTATGTAACACCAAAGAAAATTCAGCAATTGTGTCATTCTTCACTTGCTATTTTTTCTATGACACAAACAAGCTTACAAAAATATGAGGCTTAAGGTTGCAAACCTGAGATCCATAACTTGGCTTGCAACAACTCCTGGCTGAGTGGATTTTCCTTCAGGCACATCATAGAGGAAAAGTTTACAGTCACAGACAACTGCATAAACCCGCTGCCATCCTTTCTTAACTCCTGTTGGCTTTGGAACCTGTAAATGTAGAAATATATTATTCATACCATAAAAGGAGGCAAAGACTATTTTTTATTTATTACATTTATTATGTTATTCATGAAATATATATTTATACCATCTCACCATTGAAGCAATTCATACAAATATTTCCAGGGATTTGCAACAATATATACATTTTTCAAATATTGTAACTTCTTCATTTTAAGATATACAAGATATTGCAAACAAATCAATCAATTAACCAATTGATCAATAAATATGATTGGCTCTTATGGATGTTATGAGTCATCTCTTCATAGGAAATTAAGTTGCATGACAATCATTTTTTCATTAGCTGAATTTACAGCCACAATTTAATGAAATAAGCAATAACCCATGGATCAATTTATAAGAAATCTGTTTTAAAAGTATTAATTTAAAGTTAATGATGATGGTATATTTTAATTCTTCCATAATTTCTGATACAGGCTGCCACAAGAATACTTATCTCTTGCATAATTATTATTATAATTATGTTATTTGAAGGACTGCTGGTGTCCAATTACTTATGTCCAGCTGGTGGGATGAGGCACAGTAGGCACACTTGGGATCCTATTGATTAAGCAGTGTTGCTTAGCAGATTCCTTCTCTGTTGCAGCACCTGCTCTCTTGGAAAGATAGCCCCAACTCCCAAGACTCAGATGGAGCCAATGTTGTCATTCAGGAAGCTTTTCAAGACTTGAATATTCTCTCTGGCTTTGGGAGTAGGGTGATGGCTGATCCCTGTTTAGGACATGCCAATTTCTATTTCATTTTTGTATTTATCTTTTTTTAAAATTGTAGGCCACCTAGAAATATTGGAGGTCTATTTGCAACAAAATAATAAATTAATGCATGGACAGATGAAAGGTTTTTCTAAATCTCTTTATTGGGCTGATGTAAATTCAACAGGAACTTTGTAAAGATATTCTCTTTCTAACAGTTAAGCTCAATTCCTAATGGTTATATGAACATGTATTCTAGATGTCAGTATGTAATGTCTGTCCTTGCTTTCTCTAGGAATATTTTTCAGATCCCAGTTCTGTTTAAGTCAAAGTTACAGCTCCTGCTTAACTTTTTCAAAATCAGCTGAGCTTAGTTAAGTGCTGCTGATTGTTGTCATTATTTTATGCTGTATAATTACTTTTTCAAATGTCACAGACACTTCATTGAACTTGGTAATTATTTCCATCTACCTATCTTTTTTAATCGTGATTTTGGAGAACAGAAGCAATAACAATTTGATAATAATTAAATCCTGAATAATCTTGAAGGTGCAATCAATAAGCTGTAATGGGACAAGTTCTCTTTAGAGGAGAAGGAAATGCTGGGAGAGGTATAGAATGGTAAAACTTCAAATGCCCTGAAACAGTTCCTGGGTACAACTGTGGTTTGGATGTTGATGATGGGGTTGGAAGCAATGTCTCCTACTCCATCTTGCCATGCTTGAACTCCTAAGGTTTCTACTCTAATTTCTTTTACCTGAAATTGTATTAAGTTTTGAATTCCTCAAGAAGTGACCAGCTTGAAGTTTTCAACTGAATCTGGACCCTAATTTATAGCCAGATTTGCTTGACTGTCTATGTCAAAATTTGTACTTGTATTTGACTATGCACAGTAACTCTGATTATCTGATTATTGACCATTTGCCAATGTGTGCAAAGGGTCATTCTCTTTTTCTGCCAGATTCTTACCTTGACATAGCCCTTATAGGCTGTTCCTATGCCTCTTTGAACATCTACTCCAAGGGGTCTCTTGGCTTGCTCTGGAGGTATAGGACAGACTTGCGGTGCACTGTCTTTGCAGGTAATGTGGCATGCAAACGAACACACTAAGGATGAAAAAGGAAAATTGTTAAGCTTTGTGTTGTGACACAATAAATTCTATAGAATAGAGAACTGGCTAACAGTGAATGAGCAAGGAAAGGACATCACACCATAGTCAGTCAGCAGCTAGTCTCCAAGAACAACAAGTTTAAAATGGCAAACATAACATTCATTTATTTCATACGAAAAAGTAATGAATGTACTATAGCAGGAGCTTCATTAAACCATAATCCCACTTCAGTAATGTTATATTTTAAAATATAAAAGACTCTCCAAGTTTTTAAATTATGGCATTTTCTTTTTCTTGAATTTATACATACTTAATTATTTTGAACAACTCTGTTTCCTTCTGGTCAATTATGTAAGTCTTTCAAAGACTCCTTAGAGTTCTGATTTTAAACTAAAAAAATGGAACCTAGTTTGGAAAGTCTCCCTTTTTTTCTTATGAAATAAAGGTCTGCAGTAAATATGTGTAAAATCTACAGATAAAGGAATAAAATACACACCAATATTTTCACTTCTGGGAATGGTTACCTAAGTCTGAAGATATTCAAGAACTGTTGAGCTAAATAGAACTCTATTTTTAGAGTTTTATTTCTATTTTTATAATAATAAAAAAACATGTATCCCTATTTTGCATTTCCCAGTTTTATGCACATCTTTGCCCCTGAATGTTATTAGAACTCCATTTAATTTCTAATATACAGGTAGACCTCAATTTACAAGAGATCACTTATTGACCATTCAAAGTTCCAATTGACCTGAAAAGGGGGACTTACGAAACACATTCGAAATTCCACTGGTTGGGCCGGGCCCCATCTGTGTTCACATTCCTCAATCAAATGACAATGTTTTATGATAGCTTTGCTCAAAGCCAGCACTTACTTCCAGTTTTTGGCAAAACTGCACCCCTATTGAACCACTGGCTAGTTTAANGAAATACCATGAAAAATCTGCCTTGCAACATACATAGGACAAACTAATAGGAGAAGCATACCTACACCCAGGAAAATCATCAGCAACTTTAAGATATGCAGACTTCAGGTCTAGGATTTCCCAGCCAGAATACTTGAAGTCCATGTATGGACTATATGTCCATGTGTGTTGCTTCTTTAAATTTCTTAAAGTTGCTTCCACCCTTGCATTTATCATAACATTACATTCCTGATTTTTGAACTTGTCACCTCTTTTTGAGGATCTCATCAATTTCCTGTTACTGTAAGTTGGTTTTTTCTTTTCCTTCATCCCATTCACTTTCCCTTCATACAATTATTTGCAATTCAATTCCCATTCATTCTTTCTGCATCACCAAACTCAGCAAAGTTATTTTATATTCATCGATTCTGGTGCCACTACGTGGCCATGCTCCAAAATTGTGAGCTTTTTTTCCTGAGTTTGAAAAGCTGCTCATTCTAGATTACCTAAAACCTCCACAGTATCCCGAAGGGTACTTCTGTGATGAATTTTATCATGTCAAAAGACAAATCACCCAGAGATGCAGCTTAGTGGCCAAGGTTCTTTTTTCCCAAGCGAGGTGCAAAAGTAGCTTATCAGCTAATTATGGAGTAGTAGTGAACAAACCAGATTAGCCTCTATGAATATGCATTTGATGTCAAATTAACAAATGCCTTTTGTGAAAGGTAAGAGCTGTGCCATAAATGTCCCATTTAACAGTTCATTAAATAAGCCAGTATTCTGGGTCTTCATCTCTTGTCAGATAAAGCAAATTCTATATAAGGGAATTCTGCAAATAATCAAGAATTAACTAATGAAGCTCATCCCTTGGCATGTATTTGGTAAACGCAAAAAAGAATTTACTTACCGTCACGGGTGACCTCTATGACAGAGAGACCTTCATCTGAACCAATTGCTATTCTATCTCGATCTAATGATAATAAGGTGAGAAACATAATTATTAATATAAATATTCATTCTAACCCTGGTTTCTACTTTTTTTACATTACATTCTGTTTATCCATTTGATAAACAGAATATGCACATGCTAAAACAACCTCAGTGGATACCGTTTTGCGGTATCAAAAATATCAGACCTCAATAATAGTATAATTCAATCCATGTCTAACCAAATGAGAAGTCAACAGAATTTAGTAAAGCTTGCTCATAGGAAAGTAGGTATATCAATGCAAACTATACGGTATTGACCTCAGATTATTTAAAAGAGAACTTTAGAGAAGACCGTCTATGGAGATTCTCCATCATCTAGGTCACGGTTATCTCAAAGATGCTTTTTCAAGAGCAACTGAACTTTCTTGTTTTTCTTTGATGTATCACTGAAGAAGTTTCTTGGATGAGATGTGAAACATTTTCAAAGAAAAACAAGGAAGTTCAGTCACCTACTGATAAAGCATTTTTGGGTTTGGAGGAGGCTGAGCGCCAAGATTTTTCTATTTTGGAGCTTAATTGGTAGAGATGAAGGACCAGATTTTTCAGTGAATGTTGCTCTCATGATTTCTATAACCAAGACTGTAGTACTGGGTTAATCCCATCCANTGTTCAGTGTATATAATCTTAATAATTAAGAAGGAATTGTTCCATTCCCTGAACTGTGTACTTTAACAACATCTCTTACCAATGAGCCATACTATAAAAAAAGAATAGATCTAAAGCTAAAGCTAAACCAATGCATTTGGGAACTAAATTTCTGCCTCATTCAATACTGCTATTATAAATACACAATTACTACAAAAAAATTCTAAACAGATTTGTTTTCTTTCCAAATGACAATTAGGCTGTTAAGATGCCCAAATGTTTAACCAACTTACCATCGCAAGCATAACCCTGTCTAATCAATCCCACCATGAGAGATGTACAGTGGCTGCATTGAGTTGGGCTTGAAAAGGATCTGATACTTAGTTGATGAGCTTTAGGCTGAAAAAAAAGTTCACAATAAAGCAACATAAAAGTTCACTGAAAAATGGACACCTCTGATAAATTATTAATGAGACAGTGTACCAGCTTCCATATCAATTCCAGATCAAGTGGACGGCTGGGGTTAATTCAACTGTAAACCCATATTTGGAATGGATATTGGTTAGGAGCTACTCCTTGTATGCTGCTGACACAGTGTATTACATCCTCCATCTTCATATAAAAAGTATCTTGAACAGAATAATGTTTTAGCTGTTCATTGTGATTATTTTCAGCAATTAATGAGATTAATGTCACTCAGTTTTTGATGAACTGTTAAGCATGTATTGATTTCAAATAGGTACTGTTCTTTTGTTTTGCTTTTATCACAGATTAATGTGCTTCTATATTGATTATACTTTCTTTGTTTTATCCTGGCTTTTGAACTGTGCTGAAATAGTTTTTGTATTGGTTAATTTATATTTGAATTGTACTGTCAAAAGCAATATAGTCTTTCTTTCAAAATAAATACATGACCAGTATAGAGTAGTTTGGGCAACCTATATTTTTTAATAAGTGCACTATGCAACCGCCTAAATTATAATCAACAATAAGATAAGAATTACAACCTACAATCAAATCCACTCATATACTGAAACTGAAATAATACTAGGCATGTTTAACCCACCATTATTATATTAGCAGAAGCTCAACATCTTTTTTATCACCATAGCTAATATTATGTAGCAAAACTAGTTGCTTACTGGCTACCACCAATATCAATATCAACTGCACTTAGTCTGTGGAACAAAATAATAAAAGCAAATAAAAGGTTCTAATTTGGGGCTGGTGAACTAGGGCAAAACCCTTTGGTAACAGGCTTATTTAAGGGGGAAAAGATCCAAGCCAGCAAATTTCCAGTCTGATTGAAAAAGAAGAGAGGGAAGGGAGAATGGGAAAGAGGAAGGGGGAAGGGGGAAAATGTGGAAATTTGTCAGATCAAACTTGCTGGATAGGCACAGTTTGCACTTACTTTATAAACATATGGAAGTGGCTAGAGAAGCTATTCTTTTTTTAATGTTACAGCAGTTCCAGATTTTGTGGAAAATAAGAAGGTTCTTCTCTGACATTTCCTTCACATATTGTTGCATGGTCATATAGTTAAAATCAAAATAGAAACTTCTACTCTTAGAAAAAGCTAGCTTTAATGCCAACTTGCTGGGCTTTTTACTGATTGAAAATATCCTCTCAGGCAAAGATTTAGACAGAAAATGCGTTTGTCATCTACTTGTACAGCAGGTATTTTCTGGGGAAGAACAGAAAGTACCCAGAACCTGTCCAACGATGAATTAGCTGGAAACAAACACCCAAAACACTCCCATAAGATTCTATACAGAATTCATTTTAATTCTTAATCCAGGTTAAAATAATTCCCCCCAAAACATGTTTAGACATAGCTAACATACAGACATGAACAAACTGACAAATGGATCATGCATGAGGCATAATACCTTACATGTTAACTCTCTGCCCACATTTTTTTTGTTAAAACAAACCATTAAAGCCCCCTACCTTTGGTACAGCTAGAGAAATGGACTGAATGGTGGGGGAAGGAGCAGCAGGCATCCTCTGAAGCCGAATTGGTTCCTGAATTGCAAAAAACTGTAGCTGAATAACATTTAATTTTTCCAGGGTCCCATGTACATTTGGTTTTGTAACATTTGACAAATCTCTACTTCTAAATTTTAGTAAGCGATTCTACTGAAAAATGCTGGCTTGCCCCTAATTTATTAGAAGCAAGTTTGCAGATCAAGATAGACTCACAGGAAAACCTGCACTTTAGCAAGCAGCAGAAGCTAAGCAAATAAAAGAACAAAAAATGCACAGCTGAATGAGACAATAAGAGCCAGGGAAACAGTAGCAAAACAAATGAAGTTCACACCAACTTTGTACATTTATACATGACACAAGTCTACAAGGAAACATGCCATGAAAAGAAAAACTCTTTTCTCATGGATCTCTGATTGAGACACGCACTTATTAGGATACTACAAATTATTTATTTGTATATGGACGCTTACTTCTTGCTGCTGCTGTTCTGCAGTTGCAACAGATGTTGACAGTGCCACCTCGGCCTTTGTAGCTTGTACCTCCTGCTCACTAACAGAATTTGTCTGCAGAAACACAATCAAGAAAATTAGCTTCTAGCATCAATAGTCACTCAATATAGGAAGATCAAGGTTATCCAAGGTTAAAAAATCTGTCTGTTCAGAATTTATTAAAAAGTAAAGAGAGTTCCTCTGCCCCTACTAAAAACAAGCCCCCAGAACACAATGGAAATTATTCTGATAGAAATTATTCTGAACTGACTTTTCCTTCTAAAATAAAGTCCTCATTGGTTAGCCTCCCCAAATCATCTGAAGTTATTTTGAACTGATTAGCGACACAATATTCCACTTGATTACAAAGTCCAACCAAATGCCAAAATCTACATAAAAACATTAGTTAATTATGTTTTTTATTATTAAAGTGTATCTGAAAGCTGTACTCTCTGAATGGCATGGAATACACAAATCAAAGTGCAGCTGCAAAAATAGTGGAGGAGGAGGAAGGAAATATTGTTATAAAAAAAGGTAAAAGTTCCCCTCACACATATGTGCTAGTTGTTCCCGACTGTAGGGGGCAGTGCTCATCTCTGTTTCAAAGCTGAAGAGCCAGTGCTGTCCAAAGATGTCTCTGTGGTTATGTGGCCAGCATGACTAAACACCGAAGGTGCACGGAATGCTGTTACCTTCCCACCAATTTTGTTCCTATTTTTCTACTTGCATTTTTATGTGCTTTTGAACTGCTTGGTTGGTAGAAACTGGGGCAAGTAACAGGAGTTCACTCCGTTACGTGGCACTAGGGATTGGAACTGATCGATAAGCTCATCATCTTAGTCACTGAGCCATCACATCCCTACGGTGGGATGACTTTTATAGTTATAAAAGACATCTCTAAAAGTGAAGACTTGTGGATAAGGATAAGAAATCCAATTTATTATAAGATTGATATTCTGTTTTATTTGGGAATTTATAGGGGCACACACGGCAATTTTTCCTTCCATTCTTCTTCAAACAACTACCCCATGGGTTGTCTGTTGGTCTGAAAGAGAACGGTGACCCAAATCATCCAATAATGGAGGAAGATAAACTTGAATCTGAATCCACCAATCCAACACTTTAACCAGTATTTCACATCACTATCACAAGATAGAATGTATTATAAAGGAATAAAATAATCAGCTTACTACTTGAAACACTACAACTATGTATTATGTTAATTCATCTGACACATAGACAAAGTTAAAAAAAACACATGTGAGTTTTCAAATTTTGAATAAATATGTACATTAATATATATATATAAAACTAAAGTACTGCATGTGTATTTTTGCATTTAAGAGAAATAGAATATGATTATTGCTAAGAAAATAACATCATTTTGAAAATCGAAAATATGTCGGTGGTCTGTAAATATGCTATTAGATAAATATGTTATTATTAGATGTAATATACACTATGATTCCTTGATACACTTTATTTTATACAAAGTTCAATGTAAACAAAATGCCAGATACTATCTAGCTACATCAAGTGGCTATCAATCATGTTAACTACTCTCCAAAATCATGTTAAATACAAACTCCTAGACTTTGGTTTACAAATAAGATGTTTATTTGCAAGTTGGCTTTTTGTCAAAATTATCACTGGAGGGGAAAGGGAAATGAAAAAAAATAGTTCCTCTGAGCAGCTATAAGGAAGGATATCTGAATTCACAGATGACCTGTTGAAGAAGTCCAGTTACAGGTTCTTCTTCATTATGTTTTCCACATTGGAGGGTTTAATCATCATGAAGTGATCAAAAATCTTTTTTTTTCAAAGTAGCAGCAATCTGAGAGCAGGCATCCCTTCCATAATGTTGGAGAAAGGTGAAAAGTTAAGCCTGGGTGATTACCAATCCAGCATGGCGAGTTTTGGAAGAAAAACTGCAAATAATCCTGTCACCCTTACTGAATGGCATGGGTCCCACAGAGACATTGCTGCTTTATGTTTCCATTAAAATTGAGGGATTGGGGGAAAGGGAAGATAATAAAATATCATAAGTCAAATGAAAATTGGAGACTGGCACAGCTACAAAACCACTGCTGTACTTTCAAATATATCATTTTTATGGCATGAATGAAAAATGACTAAAGGTGATTGCTATAGACTTGTGTGATTTAGTATTAGCATGAAAAGAACAAGGTAAAAACTCCAACCCAAAATTGGCAAACATATCAGCAGATACAGAATTACCAGGATTTTCACAAAATATTTTATTAGCAGGTTAAAAACATATAAAGAGCTATCCCAATGAAGGTGAAAGCAGTGATAACTTGGTGTATATAGGAGAGAGTGTCAAATTTGTTGTTGTTATGAGGAATTTCATTGATATAGGATATTTTCAAAGGATTTCTATTTGGTTGCATTGGAAGCCTTTCAGGACGGTTTTCAAGAAACTGGGAGAATTTCTAACTTGGTTAGAACTAAATCCATCAAGTTGTACGGTTCAGGGAATTAAGCTTTGGGTAGAACAGCCATACTTAAGTTGGGACAGTTGAAGAAGCGTTGCATCAGCAGGAAGAAGTAATAAAACAGTGCCTTATTGTGTTCAAGAACACCATGGTGGGAACAGCATGGAGCTAAAGAGGGAACAGTTAGAAAGAGGTACAGAGAGACTCCATTCCATGATAAAATAAATGCAACACAAAAGAAATTCCCATCAACATCAATTGCGTATCTATCTTATCCAGGCCACAGATTGGGTATTACCAGCTTTTCTGCAATTTAAAATATTGATCTTTAAAAAGCCTCATTGAGATTTGATAAGCAGAGCCAAAGGATGCAGTTAGGGAGGCATCAAAGGTAAAATTTTGATAAGAGATTTGGGAGAAAGATTCCTTGAAGTCAGGAATGAAGAACTACAGTAGACTATCTGAATTCAGAGAAGTGGAATGAACATGCCACTCATTAAGGGACACAGATGAGACTAGGGGCAAAACCAATTATTAAATTTACAATTGGCACATAGCTCAATAGCTGAAGAATGATTGTTGCCTTTGTTCTTGATGAGAGCTTGCATATAAGATGCACCAATGGAAAGGAAAGTTGTATTGACTCCTGCCTCTCCACATTATGTATCTTTCATCATAATAAAGAAAGATTCTTTCTGCCATTCTTTCTGATAAAGATGAAAGACTTAAAAAAAAAGTGAGAATGCAATCCTCCGGAGAGATACTCACAATCTCTTTGCGTAAGAAAGAGGAAGTCAGACTGGCAAACTTCCTTTAATCCCCCCCTCCCCAGGTTTTTGGTAATATCATTGTTGTGCCATATTTTCTCCACTTGCTGATGACTATCTTCACTGTGTTCCATGGTATATCCACTGACTTGGAAATTTTTTTCTACCTTTCTCCTGACTGATATCTTCCAAATATGAGATCCCACTGATACTCTTTGCAGATCATGGCTTTTGTTGGAAGAGGCAACTACATAAATGTCAGAAATATCCTACTAAACCAGCTAAACTTTATATGGCTTGATCACAGTCACTTTAACTACCGTATTTTTCGTAGTATAAGAGGCTCTGAAATATAAGACACATCTAGCTTTTGGGGAGGAAAACAAGGGGGGGGGGATCTGCCTCTGCCTCCCAGCAATTTGCCTCCTTGCAGCAAACAGCAAACAGTACAGACGATATACACAATATACATTTTGTTAAGTTGTTAGAACAATAATAAAGCAGTTTTTTAAAAAATAAATCTAATAATTTGAACATTCTATAGGCATGTATAGTTATTGACTTACCTCCTTGTAGAAACAGCAAACAGCCTGTTTCAGTTTAGCCTGATTAGCACAAGAACAAAAAAATCTGCCTCTGCCTCCCAGAAATTTTCTCCTTGCAGCAAACAGCCAGTTTCACTTTCAATTTCAGCACCGGCCTCCTGATAATCAGCTGTTTCAGGCTGCAGGGATTGCCATAGCTTATTGCCGCCTCCACAAGCCCCATTTTCCCCATTTGCTGCAAGGAAGTAAATTGCTGGGAGGCAGAGGCCAAGGGGTGGGGGCCAGTGGGTGGGCAGGGCTACATTCGATGTATAACTTGCACCCAAATTTTCACCCTCTTTTAGGGGAGAAAAGTGGGTCTTATACTCCGAAAAATACAGTAATGTCAGATAGGTTCTGACTACTATTTACCATCAGTTTGAATATGACTAATTCTGAAGGCAGTCATATCCCTACTTATAAGATGATGTGCAGACTTACACAAGCAGGTTATTGTACATTTTTTATCTTGATCTGATTTTTTTTAATATGTCAGAAACCCAGCATTTGAACAAGGGTGTGTAGGTTTTTTTTATTTCCACTGATTTTAATTCTTAGCAAATTTTGCTTCTGCTTGAAATATTGAAAATACATCTGGCAAGTAAAATGAAAATGGACAAACTTTATTCCACTAAAATTATGGCATTTCCCCTTCATATTTGATAGTATACACTTCATAATGCTTTTGAGGTGGATACTTTACTGATGGTTTTCCAACTAAGTGCTGTTGAGATTGTCTAATGGCCTATTATTGAATATTTGGACAGTAGGAGCCTGACTGAGATATCTTTATTATAATAGACCTAGAAGATGAATGTTGGAAAGGGAATTGGTTTCTGTCTTCTTCCATTATGTGAAGATTTTTAACATGGTGAAAGATTAATGACATAATGGTCACCTTGACTCAGGCATCTTCTGCTATCTTCAGCAGTACTGAAAGCCTAGAGAACTGGTGAATTATTAGCATCTTGTAGCTAGTCGACTGCTTCTTCTACTTAAAATGATTTTGAATTTCAAGGCTCAAAGACTGCACCATCATACAAATCAGCTTGCAACTGAAGGAGAATTGATTACTTGGTCCTAGCCTTGCCATAATGCAACAATACTGAAGAAGGTGGTCAGAATAGCAAAGAGGCATTTTAGTCATAATCATCTCAAAAATCAGATCAGGTGGGAAACTATACCATTTCTTTGATACAATGGCAATAATATGAATTTCTGGGCAAAGGATCTCTGAAAACATTGCATTCGCAGAAAGAGAGGACAATGATCTTAGTGGAAAAGGCTACACAGACTGGAACTCTGGATTTCAATAAAGGTGAAATGGAGATGCTGTGAATGTGCTAATCATACTACATATAGCAAATGAAACACAGATTTAAGTGAAGAAATTAACTGAATAGACTTTCAAAAGTTGTTGCCAGTTCCATATTCAGTTTTTGTTTTATACTATCATATTTGGAAGCTACCATGAGTACATGCTTAAAAGAAAATGTACATAGGCAAACATGTCCTAAAGGAATATTTGGTGAAGAATAATGCTTGACTTTCATTAAAAGTGCAGCCTCTGTCACTTAAGGCTTTTAACTATGTAGGGAAAATACCGTAATGTATTATTTTATAGCAGCTAGAAACTGACAGCCACATTCTGTGAAAAGTACAGAATAAGTTCCTACTTTATTCATTCAAAGACTTAAAAACTATTTGTCTTTTTCTCCACAATTAGCATAAAATTTGAAAAGGAAATAAGGGAAACTAGATATGTACAAATGCTGCTGAGATATTAAAAAATAACTCTTCTTGTGTTTTATTCTCACATATGATCTTATTTACAATATCAATTTTCCCTGTTTTATGGAATGAGCCACAAAATTCAGGGAGATCAAGTGTTGAACATAACATTAATAATACCATGATACTTTCCTTTATTAACCTAAGGGAAAACTATTTGTAAATGGTCCAGGCATGTGCACCTGAAGTTTAAACCAAACACTCTGCAAAAGGCTTAAATTGTGGACCACAACTTTACAAACAGCCACTACCATTATGATACAAACAGCTGGGTATGGCTATTTTCATTCAATCTGTGACCTTTTCTGAGTATTTGGCTGGCAAAAGATGAATAAGCTGATTCTCAAAATGGTAATCCATATTTTCTTTTTTCTTGTGTGAAATGGCCTTTTCATCTGAATTCTAACCAACAAATCCATTGCAAGTTTAATATCACATTTAAAATAATATTAAAAATAACACTGATAAACACACTTTGGATTTAGAATTTATAAAGGTGAAGTAATATGAATTCATTAGTTTAATCAACTATGTTAATCAACAATGGGTTATATTTGTTGTTATAAAATTGTATAAATATAAGGATGGTTTTTTTTTCCCTGTTAGGCAAAAGTAGGCCAAGCTATGATGCTTGTCTGGTACTGGTTAATATAGTGGACCAGCAGAGCCTCTAAAGTATAATTGTAGCTCTCATTACTTTAAATCATGTTCTCTTTACTATTTTAATAATACTTCATCTGTTTTCTCAATGGAAAGGGATAGTATAGAAAGAACCCTGTTTGCCCATGTTGTGAGAGACTGAAGGATAAAGAATGCCAGAAGATACAAGTGAATTTTCTCTTTCGTTAGGGATGTGGTTTGACAAAGGATGTGGAAGAATTAAGCTGACAATTGAAGAAAAGATACTGAGGAGAGATTCTTACTTATTAATGAAAAAAATAAAGTGGAAATTCTAAAATAGGAAATATTTCAGCCTAACACAGAAATTTAAATCCTGTCTTCCCCTTTACTTCATTTGTTTCCCATGATTCAAGTTACATAAAAATAAGTAATATATAAACAATGTAGCAAACTTAAAAACACACCATAAAATAATACTCTAACTTCAGTAGGAACAGTACCACCGCACCTGACACTGTTACAAGTTAAGGACGGTGCAAGTGATGGTAGAATTGGTAGGAATAGGAGAATATATTCTGAAATGTGTTTAGTAAGTTTATACAAGACCAATGTTTTTATGTATAGACTCTGCACTCAACATGCAATTCAACATGCATTTCTGTGTTATTTTTGGCAAATGTTTGTAATCACATTTTAATACTCACTCTGAAAGTCAGATCATGCGTAAGAGGAGAGGTATTGAAGTAGTCAAAAATGGAAACTTGGAAATCTGAAAGTTTAAGACCTAAAAAATAAATATATAAATAAATAAATAAGCCAATAAGAGTAATCATTCTGCAATCATATGTTGGCTAAATTTTCACCTGAATCTGATCGGTATTTTTCCTCCAGTTTCTTTTTAAAACCTTCAACTTCTTCTAAGAGTTCCTGATTTCTTGCTTCAGATTCCTTTAGTTTGCTAAATGACAAAATGGAAATACAGTGACATGTGAAACATAAGTTAACCACCACATATTTTACTGCCTCTATTCTTTGTTGAGTGGCTCTTCCAACCCTCCTAAATTTAGTTATTTTTCGTTTCCATAATAGAGGTGTTATTCATGGTTATAATTCATGGGTGTGATATACTGCTTCCAATACTAAAGACAGTTATACCAATTAAATTAAATACCAGTTGCTGAGTACCATCAGAAACAAACAAATGCCTAGAAGAGATCAGCATAAAAAAAGTCTTTAATACATGTTAAAATACAGCATTACACAGGACCCAGCCCTTTCAAAAATTACCTTTCAAAGGACAGGTTGGCATCTTTCACTTTCCTTAATTCTTCTTGGACTAGCTGTTTGGCACGTATTTCAGCATCAAGAGCAGACTGTAATTCCAGCCTTGCTGACATATCCAGCTTCTGACTACGTCTCACTTTCCAGAGTGGATCCTGTTACATCAAGCAATTGTTACTTCCTCTACATTATTAATAACATCTTAAATATTAATGCTATTCAAAAATTTCACTTGTACCTACGACTATTAATGAGTGCATGTTTGATTTGAAAAGTCCTATATAATTGGGGGAAAAAATGTCAGAATAACTCTTTACAGGTACTCCTCATTCATTTAGTGACAGTTTAAAGTTACAACGACACTGAAAAACATGATTTATGGCCATTTTTCACAGTCATGACCTTTGAGGCATCCCCCACGATCATGTGATTAGAAGCTTGGTAACTGGTTCGTACTTGCGGTGTCCCAAGGTCATGTTTTGCAACCTTCTGACAAGCAAAGGCAATGGGGAAGCTTATCAACTGCAGTGTTTCACTTAACAAATGTGGTATGAAAGGTCGTAAAATGGGACAAAACTCACTTAACAAAATCTCACTTAACAACAGAAATGTTGTTATAAGTCATAAGTCAAGGGCTACCTGTATTTCTCAATCAGTTCGTATTGATTTTACATTCTTATCAGATATACATAAATGCAATCTGAAAAAAGAGAGAATGCAATGCCAGTAACACTTAACCAGGATGTTGCATTATGGACCTCTGTTAAACTTGCAGGTCTCAGGAGTACCACTCTTTCCTTGGCGTGTAATAGGTTAAACATTTTATTTCCCAATTTATTGAAAGGAGTGGAAAAGAGCAAAGGGAACATCAGATGAAACCACTTCCTGTCCTATGAAACATTGCCAAGTGTATATTCTTTTTTTTGGGTTGTATATCATCTCCAATTCCTGCTTTTCTTGTAGCATCAAATAATATATTATTATTGTTATTCTTCCTCCAAATGTTATAATCTAGTCATTCTTCCCAAATGGATTTCAAAATAGGTAATACTTAAAATAAAAATTAAATGAAAGGAAATAAAAGCTGCCCATAAAAGTACTACAACCTTCTTTAAATAGCTACTTAATTCTTAAGGATTAAAGGATTAAATCAAATGTGATTAGTTTCAGTTTTGATTTAAAACAATGAACCAGGAATGTTGGAAAATATAAAAGGATTCATATTGAGGGAGTAACTGTCTCAAAGAAGGATGTAGAAATAGTAGAAAAAGGCATAGAATTCCAAATTGGTCAAGTGTTTCTAATCTGGAAAATAGGGTTAGTAAAAGGAGGTATAATGAAATTTAGAAAAATATGTATAATAGTGAGATAGCAGCTGGTTTTTTTCTTCATCTCTCATAATAATAGAACTCAGATCTCATTCAATGAGAACTCACCAGGAGATAATTTTTAATAAAGTATAAATCCTTTATTCGATGCAAAATTCATTTGTGGAAATCATAGGCTAAAGATGTGAACACATAGATCATGAAATTATCACTCAGTGAGTATATAGGATAACTTTACGTACAGAAGCAGCATATAAAAAGGACAGACTGGGAGCAATAAGAGTAGAAAACAATTCATATCCTATTTGTGGATATCTTAAACTGTCTGCCCAAGTTGATGAATTAAATAGACTGATGATTTGAGCCATCATGGTGTTTATATGGATCTCATTTCCAATGTATCAAGGAGCTTTAGAAACACCACAACTGAATAAAACAACCTTTTCCTCTTCTTTTAGAGAAGCAGACTCTCATTTACAGAGGCTAGCAAAAACATGTGAGAGGATTTTTCTCAGCTATAAGCACTATATCCATGCCATGGTATAGCTCAGATGATGCAATGACTCTGTTGGATTATGAGGGACATGTTTAATGCTGAACTCTTCACCCTCCTATGACATCTAAGTGGGATACCAGCAGCCATAGCTGGTAGTGATTGAATTGCAATTTAAACATCAGACATTATAAAGCTTTCCCATTAATTAATCATGTATATTTCCATGCTCACCAGTGTTCTTGATCCCAGACTAGAGCTTTTCAATGATTCAAGTTCTTCTGTCATCTTAGAAGCTAGTGCCTGAAGATAGCCACGTGCATCTTTTTCATCACTGACCCTAGTGTGTAAAGCATATTAGAAACATTATTTTACATAGGCCGTTACTTGAAAATGTTTCATATGTATTCAATCACATTAAAACAATAGTAAAACAGTTTTCAAACTATCTAAATATGGTCTTGAATGAAAACATATCATAAATTTGAAACTAGCAGAGACAAGACATTTTTTCTACCTACGATTAAACAATTTTTATCAATTCTGTGGCTCTTTTCATGCTTATAGTTTTGTTGTTTGGAATCAACATAGCAATAGCACTTAGACTTATATACCACAGTGCTTTACAACCTTCTCTAAGCAGTTTACAGAATCCGCATATTGCCCCCAACAATCTGGATCCTCCTTTTACACCCTCAGGAAGGTGGAAGGCTGAGTCAAACTTGAGCCAGTATAAATTGAATTGCTAGCAATCGGCTGAATTATCCTGCAATATTACATTCTAATCATTGTGCCACTATGGCTCTTTCACCCTTTTTCAACTTTATTTCACTTATAATATGTTTCTTCTGCAGTGGAAACATTTATATTTCACCATACTATTGGTTAGGAATAGAACAAATTCCAAGCTCATATTTGAAATTCCTTTCGTGTTTTCAGGATGAGGAAGTCTCATTTATAATATGGCTCTTGAAATATGACCCTTTTAAATCTTCTTTTTCCTGCCCAGTGAGGCTTTCAAAGAAAGGCCCTTTCAGTTCCTTCATAAAATTAAAATGAAACAAGACAAAAGCCAAAAATTACTTAAACCAACTACTTCAATCACAATGTTCAGGACTATGAGAGAGACAAGTCAAGACTATTTTTACCATATAGGCTAGCTTAGTAGTTCAAAGAAAACTTCCTCCATGGATATTATGCTTTAGAACCTTATCTTTCAGTCAAGAGGAAAACAAATATTATTAACAATATTAATAATATTAATAATTAATTAATGAAAATAATAACATGTCCCATTTAACTTGACAGTTGACCCATATTCATAAACTTGCTTTGGCAGGCAGGCACACACAAATTAGCCACTTTACTGAAGACAACAATGAAGACCCAAAGGAACTGCCTTCTGCTACAAATAGAAACTGAACCCTATATTTACGTTTCTCCCCAAGAGTTTAAATTCTTGGCCTTTTCCTCCCATCCTCCGAGTCAATAATATGAGAGTTTGTGGGCTGAAAAGACTGAGACAGTAATGGAAGGCACTGTAGTCATATACAACAAAGAGACAGACGTCTGTTAATAGCTTATTTCAGTACAATTCAGTTGGAAATTTCTCTTGATGTTTCTGAAATTTCGTATTTGCTCTTTAAAATATTAACTTTAACATTAAAGGCACCATTTTATTTTTAACTCTGTACAAAACGGGAGGAGGGGGAGGGATAGGAGTATTAGGTATATTTGCTGCTATGAGTTATTTATGAAAATATTAATGAGAAGAAATATAAGGTTTTACTGCCCTGAGACAAATTCTCCACATTGGGGTCACTGAAGAATGTAATATTTTTTTCCATTCAGGCTGACTATTAAATTTATGAAGAATATTATAGTGGAGGGAATAATGAAGCTCTGTTGCAAAGGGAAAACAAATCCCTTTACTATTTTGGTTACATTATCACGTTATTTAAGAAAATATTTAAAGATTCAACACTGTTGCATCTTACTTATCTTGTACCAGGGCATTCAGAGTCTCCAAAGTGGGGCATGGGAGGAGTCACAGCTGGGTATTGTCACGGCCCATCTGCCCGGAGACTGAGATAAATCAGAACAGCTCATGTGATCGGACCGCATAGTCGGTGGTCGCCATTTTGAACAAGAGAGCGCAGGCGTGGAGAGCAGTTCCGGTCTCTGGTCGCAGAGACTGCAAGCGTCCGCGACCACCACCAGCTCAGAAGAGGACCGGGTCTGAACTCCACTGGTCATCCGGGGAGGGACACAACATCGGGTGGTAGGCCGGATCCAACTTGAGTCGTGGATCGGCAGTGTAGGAGAACAAAGAGAGAGGAGGGGGATCGTCTAACCGTAAGTAAAGCGATGGCAGACAATCTGAGGAGTGCAGGGCTGGGCAGAGCTTCCCCAAGGGGGGCAGACCCAGGAGAAGGGTCCTCCTGAGGATCCTACCCTGCAGAGAGGGACAGAGCTGCGGCACCTCCAAATCGCAGAGGGAGCACTCTAGGAAGGAAGGAAGGGTGACCAGGACGGCAGGCAGGAGAAACAGGGACATGATCAGCCCTTTCCCAGCCAGATCCCAATTCCCAGTCAGGGCCACTTCCCCAGGGGATCCTCCTGGCCTACCAGCCTCGCCACATGGTTCCCTAAGGGGGGGGGGGTATCTCCCTATCCCCCCCACTATCTCCAGCCCATCTTTCCAGAGCGTGAGGAAACCCCTTTGGCCGCCGTCCAAATAGCCAGCCAAGGCAGTGCCTGGCCCCACAAAGCCCTGATCCTAGCATGAATCCAGAGCTTCCAGGCTATCTCCGGCTTACCCAGAGCTCTCCCAGGGCTTCCAAGAGATCTTGGCTAGAGCCATTGCCCAGGGCATCACCTCAAGGCATGCAGCATCAGTTTCAGGGACCTAGGAGTAAAGCAGGCCATAGTATACCTTGAGGTCATCTAGACCAACCCGGCCCTTCCACCTCCAGGGACCTTAGAGAGGATTCTCCCTCCACAGCCAGTGAGGACTCGGGGTCAGAGGAGAGGGAGATCAAGGAAGTAGATTTCTCTGACAAAGGGGAAACCCAAGCCCCCAAGGCCCCATCCATCTTGGGTCTATTCCCACCCACTCTCTTTACCTCCTTGCTACATAAGGCTAAGACCACGGCAGACCTGGACTTTCCAGTAGCCAATCAGGACATTGCTAAGGCTGGCACAAGCAGAGGAGCTAAGAAGGGTCCCTTCCACAGACTCCAGGTGGAGAAGGAGGAAATCCCCACCCCAGATCTGTTTCTAGAGGTGCTCAAGTCACAATGGGCCCAACCAGGAACCTTTCCCACTCCTGGGAGCAATGATCGCATATTCTATAACATTAATGCTAACTTTGATCAAGTCTTGCAGGTTCCATCAGTGGATGCCCCGGTGGTAACCCTGGCATCCTCCTCGCCAGTGGTGATGGGAGACATTTCCAACTGCCTGAAACCGGAGGACAGGAATGCAGAATTAGTCATGCACAGCCTGGAACAGCCATGTTCCAGGCGGTATTGTGGGCAATCAGGGCTGCTACAGCAGCCTCTTTTTTTAACAGGTCTACCTTGCTATGGCTGGAACAGCTCCATGACAGAACCCCAGCTTCAGATATCAGACTCCTGCAGGACATCACAAAGGTGTTGGCGGCCACCCAGTTCTCAGGGCTCTAGCCTCATCAGTGGCATCCAGATGTTTGCTGTGGCTGCATAACTGGCAGATGGAGTTCCGGGCAAAGTGGCATTTGGCAGGCACAGAGTACACAGGAGGACAGCTGTTCGGTCCATCCCTGGACCCCATCGTCGTTGAGGACAAAAACAAGGGGAAGGTCCTTCCGTCCATGTCCAGACGACCGGATCACTGTTTGGCACTGTACCCCAGAAGGTCCAGTTTTTGAGCACCCGAACAGGACTTCCAACAACCAAGGTACTCTGCGCCCAGGTTCCCCAGACAAGGCGATAGTCAGTTTTCTAGGGACAGGTTCAGGTTCCAACAATCTAACAAGTGCCCATTTCGAGGGGGAGGCGGCCGCCCCTTCCACGGAAACAAGTAATTCGGGATCGAATCACCCTATTGGTGGCCGCCTTTCTCTATTCGTGGATCACTGGGTGGACATCACCATGGATGCTTGGGTGTTGCAAACTGTCAGGTTCGGTTTCCACCTGGAATTCCGCTCACAACTCCCGAATAGATTCTGGATCTTCTCTTCCTCCAGGAACCCGGCCAAGTGCTCTCTCATGCACAAGGCTATCCAGCATCTACTGGAGATCAGAGTGGTAGAGCTGGTACTGGAAGGAGAGAGGAAATCTGGATTCTATTTGAACCTCTTTGTGGTCCCCAAGAGCTCTGGAGGGTGGAGGGCCATCCTGGACCTTACGTTACTCAATTTCAGGCTGGTCTACCGTAGGTTCAAGATGGCCTCACTCAAGTCTATCCTAGAGGGGATTAGATAGGGGGATTTCCTAGCCTCCATTGACCTCACCGAGGCTTACTTGCACATCATGATTGCACCCGACCACCGCAAGTTCCTCAGGTTCTCCTATGGGGGCACCCATTATCAGTACAGGGCCCTTCCCTCCGGCCTAGGTTCCACCCCTAGGATATTTACCAAGATACTGGCCATGGTGGCAGCCCACCTCTGCTCCAGCCTGGTCCGGCTACACTGCTACCTTGATGACATCCTTGTATTAGCACCCTCACTAGCTCAAGCCAGAGGGGACTTAAGGCTCACCATCGCCACACTGAAATCTCTGGGGTTCTCGGTTAACCTCGAGAAGAGTCACCTGACACCCACCACCACACTCCAATATTTAGGAACCATTATTGACTTGGTGGGGGGAGATGTTTCCCTCTCAGAGGAGCGCAGGGACAGCATTGTACAAATGATCCTAGAGATTCGCAGGCTTCAATCTGTCTCTGTAGCCTTTCTTTCCAGGCTTCTCGGCAAGTTCATCTCCTGCATCGAGATAGTGCCTTGGGCCTGACTCCATGCCAGGGAGCTGCAGTAGTTCCTGCTTCCCCACCAGAGAGACGGGACAAGCGACGCAGAATTCAAGGTCAGGATGATGCCTCAGGTACACCTGTCCCTCTGCTGGTGGATGTCCCCAGCCCTGTCCAAGGGCTCCCTGTTTAGGGAGCCGGACAGACTTGTGTTAATGACAGACGCAAGCCTGTTCGGTTGGGGGGCACACCTTGATTCCCAGCTGGCCCAGGGGCGGTGGACACAGACCAACCTCCGCAAGAGCATCAACAGGTTGGAGCTCCAGGTGATCCACCTGGCCCTATGACGATTCAAGACGACAGTAGCGGGGAAACATGTCCTAGTCCTCACAGACAATGTGGTGGCCAAAGCACACATGAACAAAAGGGAGGCACCCACTCCAAGGCACTGCGTGATGAGGCAGTGAGATTGGGAAACTGGGTGGAACGGAACCTCCTATCGATCCCAGCAGAACACATCTCTGGGGTGGAGAATCACCAGAGCTCTACAATGCTCTCATTGTAGAGAAATTAGTCGATATGGAATTTATAAATTGCTTGTAAGGGTGAGAAAAAAGAGAAGACAATATTCTAATCTATTAACGTTTGCTGTTATGTGTAATTTATAAAGTTGATCACATTCACAAAATGATACATTTCAATTATCTTCAAATTTTACTTCTGTTGAGAAGACTCCAAGTATACTTTTTTTTACTGGATCCCCAAAGGGTACATACCACTGAATGATTTCTGCAATTTGAGCTTCCCAATGGGCCACAGATTCTTTCTTTCCTGCCAAATCCTGAAGCTCATCCTCTAATTGTCTGTTTTGCGATGTCAATTTATCGACAAAGGAACAAAGCTGTGACAACAGAATGTATTAATTAGTAGTTAATTAACTTTCATACGTGTAATTTAATGTAACTTGCACCCATTCAAGCTAATTGTAAACTGCTTGCAACATGCCAGATTATGCACCGGGGGGGGGGGGGGGAATTGAAAAAAATCTGAATTTAAATTTGAGATTTAAAAAATGTTTCTCCTTAATCTCAATTACCTTTTCATTTTCAGTCGTTAATTTCTTGTTATCTTCAAACAACATTGTTCTCTCTCGTTCATACTTGTCTTTTAGAGTTCCCACAGCTTCTTCCATCTCACTGTGCCTAGAATTGAAGATCCCATAAATACCATTCTAAAGATTGCTAACACCTTTTTTTTCTACTTTACTTTTGGATTTCAGATACTTTTTGAACAATTTTAAAAAATAAGTTTTCAAAACACAATTGTATAGAGTACTTACTTCTCTCTTTTTGCCTTATCCAGTTTATCTTTTAATACCATGATTTCTTTTTGAAGGGCAAGCTGATGGCTTTCTATATCATGTGCCTCTTTTTTCACATTTTTTACTTCCAAGACATGGGAAGCTTCTCGCCTGACCAACTCTTCTTCATAAAATGAAATTTTATTCTGAAGCTCTGAGTTCTCCTTAGCTAGCTCTTTCTGATGCTCCTGCATGGCCATTCCTGCACCACGCCCTCCCTGCTTTACCTGCAAAAGAGCAAAAATTGTTTCTAAAAAGAGGAGGATGTAAAAGTTTATCTCTCTAATATCAAAAGTAAATATTTGATTGAACAAAGAGACAAATCAGGATGCTTCAAACATATCGGTTAGCTCTTGGAAGCAACAAGAAATTGGAATTCCCAGAGTTCTAAGCCATAAGAATGGTGGATATTCTGTAAAAGGACCTGCTGTTTACTTTTTCCAAGGTGAGAAAACTCTATGAGAAAACATAGAGAAGAATAGAATGACACAGGATTTATAACAGGAAACAGACTTCTAGCCTTTCCAGTGCTATGTAGATTATTAGCATGTTATGGAAAGATATTTTAGCCTAGTCATCTTATCAGCTGAACATAAGTGCCTTACTATTTTTCCTATAGCAGCACCTATGCAGTTTACCATATTTAAGTTGCCTCAGCTACATATTTTCAGTTTCAGTCACAAATGGACTTCCGTGGACCTTACTTCATAGTTAAGTGGTCAGTAGAGGGTGTGTGTGCATAAGTGCACTAAAATGCCTATCGTCTCTATCATTGTATTTTTATTCTCTTATTCTTGTTCTCATTTTTGTTTGACAAATGCCAATAAACAAATAAAAAATAAATTTTAAAGAAATCCCATAAACTACATGGCAACTTTTACATATTGTGTCGTTAGGGCCATAAGCATGGCCACCTATGTAGATCCATGTCCTCCAATGCATGATTAGGTCCAAATGATCCTATATTCATCTTTGAGTGGAAAAGGAGTTTCTACTTGAACTTGAGGCAGTAATCCATCTGTCCCCATTTCAAGAAATCATTTTTGGATTCAACATTGCTGCATAATTCTTACCTATCTTTACCCTCCCTTTTGGGAAAGAAATAGTGATTGGCTTGCAGCTTCAAAAGAAACTGGATTATTTGGGCCCCTTCCAATCAAATTTCAGGCCTGGGTACAATATTGAGACAGCAATAATTAGAGGAGAGGGTGGACTTTGATATAATCTCTCATGAAATCCTTCTGTACTTGCACAGATGTTTTGGAGTGGAGAGGTGGTCATTGTGATAGTTCTGTTTCTTCTTCCAGATTAGGTTCCAATTGATGTTGATGGAGAAATCTAGCCCAAGGCCATAGTTTATTGGTTGCCCCAGGACTTGATTCTCTCCTCACACCTATTGAATATCTACACAAAGATGCTGTGTGAGGTTAATGTTGGTATGAGTTTATGTATCATGAGCACACTGATGACACCTAGCTATACATTTCAACTCTAGGCCATCCAAGAAATACTGTAAAGATTGTCTGTGTCTAGCGGCTTCGTGGGGCTTCATAGCAAGTTACATGGCTATGGATTTTCGGCTACTTGGATGTGGAAACCTTCCTTCCAATGTTGCACTGCCCTAAACAGAACCTGTAAACAAACTGAGCTCTTCCTCGCCTCTTGGCATCTGCTCAAAGAGCACATGGTATCTAATTTGGTTAGGAGGTCCTTTGAATAAATCCATCTTGTGTGCCAGTTACATCTATTCAACAGTCAAGAGGCTTTACTCACAGTTGTTCACATTATGGTCACCTCTTTGGATTTCTGTCAAATGGGCATGTTCTTGAAGACTACTTAGAAGCTATAGATACTGCCATGAGAGGTTTCATGTGTGCATCAGCCATCAGTCACCTGTGAACTTCTAGTTATAATTTAAAATGCTGGTAAACACCTATAAAACCCATCACGAGACAGAGCTGTTATTTAGACCACCGGTCTCCAATTACCCGTGTTATGATCTAATAAGGTTGGTGTGCTCTGGGTTCTGTCTATTAAACAGCCTCATATTATGGGACTTAGGAGTTATATTTTCTCTGTCACCACAGAATGTAGAACATAGAACAATAGAATTGGAAGTCTTCTAATCCAAACCCCTGTCCATGGCAGGACATCCTATACAATTCTGGACAAATGGCTATCCTGTCTCCTCTTGAAACCCTCCAGTCATGGAGTACTTACAACTTCTGGAGGTAAGTTGTTCCATTGATTAACTGTTATCACTGTCACAAAATATCTACCCTCTATGAAAGAGCATTTTCTGAAATGTCTGCACGGTCCCAACCTCTATGTGGACCACTTTTAAATACTGCTGTTGTTAACTTTTTGTTAAAATGCCTGGAGTCACATAGTGAGTTGAAATTACAACAATAAATAAAATGTAGGTAACTTGTCAAGTAATACCATGAGGCTGGGAGCATACCACCTAATCCTACATTTTTATGGAATGTCTAATATCTGCAACTGACTATAAATGAAATGTATATGATGCCAATTTGGTTTTAGATGTTTCAATATGAATATAAAATTAATAATAATTGTATTGAGCTTCCTGATAAGCTAAATTCTAGAACAGTTTGCAACTGAAAAATGGAATATATTAAACACACACACACATACACACACTTCTTGTTCTTCCTAAATAAAGTAAGCCTCAAGATGGTTTAATCATTCATAACATAGTCACCTTTAGTGTTTCCAGTTCATTTTCCAGCTGTTTAGTTGCTTTTTCACTACATTCTCTAAGTTTCCGCTCTTTTGATACTTCTGCTAGTGCATCATCAAGCTGTCCTTCTAGCTATAAAAAGAAAAATAAGTATAATTATAGAAACAACTTGAGCTTAGTCATTATTAATTCTACATCATCAAGAAGAACTAGCTAGTGTATAAAATCCTTGAAGTACTAAAAAATAAGCTAAAGCCCATATTAAAAACAGCAAGATTTACAGGAAAGGGAAAATAGAATGTAAAAACAGGTCACTATAAGGATACACTGAGATATCCTCATAATTTATTTCTGAAACTTAAAGAAAAATGTTTTCTCATACTTTATTTTCATTGCATTGGTTTCTACTATATTTTAATGTTTCACTGAATCTAGATTAGATTATTTTTACAGCAAATGTACACTCCAAATAAGAGGCAGATTCTATTTTGTTTTAAAAATAAGTTGTTTGATATGTAGAAAATATCAGTATAAAGAATGGAAAAATACAGTATTGTTATGATGAGATAAAAATTTTAACAAAAGTGCCTTATTATAGAGATGTGAGGTACAGTAAATAAAACTGTAACACAGGTTGCAAAAAAAAATTTCAAGAGCTGTTTTGGTTATTCCACGTAATCTTTATGTTTTTTTGGTACGCTGAATCTGAAAATTTTGTCATAGGACATCACGTTTCCTGACAATTTAGGTAACTACATTAAATAAGGCAATACCTCAAAATAAATGGAAATAAACTTATAAAATTAAGTTTTATTACAATATTTTCATGAAAAT